GACCTCGAGTTGGCTAACCAACTTGAATCCATATTCTTAGCCACTTAACCTCCTCTAAGCACTCAGACAGTGACTGATCCTCACATGTGCCAGGTAATCTTTTTGAGAAAGAAATTAACAGGAAACATTCTAAATACCTAGTGTTTACATGGGCTCCAAGGAATTCAAGTGTAATATGTACAAAGACCTTGATTCAATCCTGTTTTCTCCTATAGGCTAAACAAGGTTATAGAACAGAAAAGTTATTTCATTTCTACATCCATCTTTGAAGATGTTTAGAGATCTAATCCTCCCTAGCGGATGTCTGTAAAGAATGGAGGAACAAACATTTTTAGTATTCAAATACAAAGAAGAAAGCTCAGTTCTGCCCAGTGTTTGTTTAAGTGAGGGCAACACTAGCAGAATACAAATAAGTCAGAGTGAACCAGCTCTGACTTGTTCTAAGAGACTCCTGGCCCTTGTCAAGCCAGCACAGCATGGTCTCAGGTTCTAGACCATATTCTTTATTTCAGACTTTGGCCTCTGAACTCTGCATGCTACAAGGACCAGTGCAGAGAAATGATTACTTGGTATACCGATTCTTTCAAGGGCACCTTCCTAAACAGGCTTCTGTGTGCTCATGAAAAGTCCTCCATCAGACCTGTTTGGAAAAATCCAGACTCTCCTTGTACCCCACAGTTCAAACTAGCATTAAGAAATATCTTTCCCTCTTGCAATCAAGCAGTAATAAGGGGACATCTTAGGATACCTTGAGGGAAGTGTGTTATTTTCAAGTAAATTATCTTAAAGAATCTGACTAAATTACCTCTTACACTAGATCTTTTAATATTTAAAACTCTTAGATTCCCAAAGGAAAGAGGCTATATTCTAATAACGTTTGCTGAAAGAATATTTTACTGCCTAAAGGACAGCTGTTATATCATGTTTAGATACTCACATAAAAACTGGTATACTTTCACTTTATAAAATAAAAATTCACAAAAACAGACAAAGTTATTTAAACGAATTTCTCTTTCAAGTGTGTGTGCTGTCTCTTCACCTAGACTGTAAAACCATGGAGGGTGAGGGCCATGTGCTAATTTTCTTATGTCATGCTGCTCAAGTTCTATTTGTGGCAGGCATTCTATGTATACTTATTAGGATTCCATGAAGATGCTAACTTTCAGAGATCAAATAATGCAATTCTTACCCAAGGTCTGTCTTTCATTATCTAAATCATTACTGAGATTATCCAAGGAAAGATTATCACTTATGTCACTGACATATGAGTCGTCATCAGAGATCTATGGGAAAGAAGAAATAATATACATCAGAATGAAAATAAACAAAAGCCAGACTTTTATAATCCCCTTATTTTAAACGATCAAA